GTATGTTAGAGGGGCAAAGGAGCCAACACAGAGCTCCCAATGACTAAAGCTGGAAAATTTCAACAATATAATTAAAAAATAGTTTTGGATTATAACCCCAAAAATATTACTATACAAAAGTCTATATTGCTATATGTAAATGGTTGAATCTATATATATAAAACCCTAATATGCAAATAGACTGAACGGCGGAACAACCGAACAACCAAACAACCAGTTGCTATGACGTGCGCTGACCACCAGGGGGTGTGCGCGGAACATGGTGGGCATCAGCAGCATGTGAAAGAGCATGGAACATGGCGGGCATTGGCCATGGCGGGATGGTGGAACAGGTGAGCATGGGCACCACCCAAGGAGGGACACCAGTTGCCATCATCGGTGTGAGCCTCTGGTGGTTACTGGAAATTCTTTGCTCCTGTGTACCATGGTCTTGCCTGGCACTTGCACCTGCTGCCAGTGCCAGCCACACTCGCACCCGCTGCCAATGCTGGAGCCGCCACTTGTACCCTGATCGCTTGGCACCATCAGCAGGTGCAACTGGCGACTGCCGGCCCTGATTGCTCCTCAGGGCTTCTCCATCTCCCTCTGTTCCTGAAGGGTGTTCAGGGCTGGCAGCCACCTCTTGCACCCGCTGCTGGCACTGGAACCACCGCTCACACCCGCTGCTGGTGCCCAGCGCTGGTCCTGATTGCTCGGTGCCATCAGCAGGTGCGAGTGGCAGCTGCTGGCCCCAATCGCTCCTGAGGGCTTCTCCACCTCCCCCTACTCCTGAGGGGCAATCGGGGCAGCAGCTGCCACTCGCATCCACTGATGGCACCGGCCCCACTCGCACCCACTGCTGGCACCAGCCCAAATCGATCTGCGCTGTCAGTGGATGCGAGCGGGGCTGGCACTGTCAGTATATGGGAGCAGCAATGGTGGGAGCAGGGCTGCCGGCAGACGAGACCAGGGTCCACGGCGGGAGGGGCCGGGCAGGGGCTCAGAGGATGGGCTGAGACCCGCCCCTGTGCCCACCACAGCTTTGCGGCCCATAGTTTCTTCCAAGGTGCACAAATTCGTGCACTGGGCCCCTAGTAAAGTAATAAATGGGAGAAAGAGATGAATATCTCATGAATAAGAGTTCTAAGTAAATATACTCTTCCCTAAAGGAGGTGGAGCATAACTCACCACACCTTAAGGTGGGCCTGACACTGTGACTTCCTTCCAAAGAGTACAGTGTGGAAAGGAGGTACAAAAGTAACTTTAGAGTGGAGAAATCCAACTAACGCTGCCTCAGCCAGGTGATCAAGGTGAACATCAACAGTTATAAATCACGTGGATGACACATACTCTTAATAAAATGTGATCAAAATGGCACTTAACCTTCCTTCCCCAACCTATAGCTCCAGTCTAGCCATGGGAAAAGATCAAATTCCAATAGAGTGGCATCAACAGTAGACTTGACTAGCACTTCTGAGAATGGTCAAGTTCATGACACACAAGGAAAATCTGAGAACCTTGTCACAGCCAAGATGCACAAAATTTCTATTACAGCTCATGCTTTATTCTGAAATACAAAGTATTAACATCAGCAGTTATCCACTAGGTCAGAGGTTCCCGGAGTTTCTCAGTTCATGGGCCATTAGCGTCCTAGTAAATTTTTTTACACTCTTAGGCCAAAATAAATGCTTAGAGACTGCATTTATTAAGTGGTTAAGTCCAAATGACTTAATAGTAGCTCTCTGCTCAGTGCCTGGCCGATGATGCCATTTCCCTCCATGTCCAACAGATGTCTCTGTGCTTCCATCGTGTCCCGGTGAGTTTGTAGTAGTGCCCAGGGCACCTCAGTGCACAGTTTAGGAACTGCAGCTCTAGGTATTAAACTCTGATGGGCCATACATGATAATCATCTGGCATGATCAATCATAGGTGAACTGACTGGATAGTGTTCAAACTCACTGTTTCCATATCATGATAAAGCGTTGCATGCAGTGCTCAGCTCAATGTTAAATGGCAACATCGCTTCCAGCTCTTTATCATAGCGGCGCTTTTCACTCACTGTACTGAAGATATTCCTTTCTGTATCAGTCAGAGACAGAACCAATAGAAGGTATGTGTATATACATATAGAGATTCATTGTAAGGAATTGGCTCATGTGATTGTGGAGACTGACAAGTCCAAATCTGCAGTGTGGGCTGTGGTGTCAAAACCCAGGAGAACTGATGGTGCAGATGAGTCCAAAGGCAGTTTGCTGGAGAACTTCTCATTCAGGGAGGCCAGTCTTTTTGTCTATTCAGCACTTCAGCTGATTGGGTGAGACACACCCACATTATGGAAGAATATCTGCTTACTCAAAGTTTCACAATTTAAATTTTTAAAAATATATTTTTATTGATTTCAGAAAGGAAGGGAGAGGGATAGAGATAAAAACATCAATGATGAGAGAGGATCATGGATCAGCTGCCTCCCACACGTCCCCTACTGGGGATCAAGCCCACAACCCAGGCATGTGTCCAGACCGGGAGTTGAACTATGACTTCCTGGTTCATAGGTTGATGCTCAGTCACTGAAAATGCACTAATCATTCCTCCAGAAGAGGAGGCAGTCCTCAACAGATGTTTAGTCTTCTAGATATCCTGTAACCTAAGTACTATTCCATATTAAGTCCAATAAACTATGACATAGCCCTAGCCGATTTGGCTCAGTAGACAGAGCATCGGCCCTCAGACTGAAGGGTCCCAGGTTCTCTTTCAGTCAAGGACATGTACCTCGGTTGCAGGCTCAATGCCCAGCCCTAATTGGAGCTCATGTGGGAGGCAACTAATCAATGTGTGTCTCTCACATTGATGTTTCTCTCTCTGTCTCTCCCCCTTCCTTCCACTCTCTCTAAAAGTCAATGGAAAAATATTCTTAGGTGAGGATTAACACACAAACACACACTCACACACACACAAAACTATGACATAAAGTCAACATACCTTATGTTACATGATAAGAAGAAAAAGATATTTGCTTAATATATATATACATACACAAACATGCATAACAAAAATAAGAGAAAAATTCTCGTGACAATTATAGTCCCTGTTTCTGTAACTGGTCACATGGTTATAGCTGGTATTTATAACTACCTTTTCCAATACCTATTCTGCATTTTCTTTGCCCTCAACAAGCACCTCAGCTGGTCATGGTCCCTTATCTGGTAGGGTGATCTAGAAATTTCACCAATGGTAGAAGGACCCTGAAATTTTTCATATTTGTTTCCCATCCTCTGGCATGTAAATGTCTTACCAAATAAGTCTAGAGTAGTTGCTTACTTGGTCCAGTCAGCACAGTGTCATCAATGCAATGGACCAGTGTGATATCTTGTGAAGGGAAGCGGGACTTGTGATCAAGAGCCCTGACACCTAAATTCTGACGCAGGTCTGAAGGGTTGATATGGCCATGAGGTAGAACACTGAAGGTGTGATGCTGGTCTTGCCGGCTGAAAGATGACTGTTTCTGGTGAATCTTATGCACAGGAATGGAGAACAAGGCACTTTCCAGATCAATAGCTACACAGCAAATACTAGGAGGTGTGTTGATTTCTCAAGCAATGAAGCCACGTGTGGAACAGCAGCAGCAATGGGAGTCGCCGCCTGGTCAAGTTTACAAGAATCCTCTGTCTTCTCAGAGACCTAGCACTCTCTGCCCAGGCCAGACAGGAAGGATGGATGGGGGTGTGGGGGCATCACTACCCCTGCGTCCCGTAGGCCCTGATGGCGGCACTCATCTCTGCAATCCTTCCAGGAGCGTGGTGTTACTTTGGTTCACTATTTTCCAGGTAGGGGCAGTTCTGGTGGCTTCCACTTGGCCTTTCCCACATAATATCCCTCACTCCCAGGCCAGGGACCAGTGTGGGGATGCTGCCAGCTGCTCAGTGCGTCTAGCATAATTACACATCCCAGAACTGGGGAGTAACCACGGGATGGATCTGGGGACTCCTTGGGCCCATGGTGAGATGGACTTGCTCACCTGACCTCCACAAGCCCCTTCTCTGACTGGTGGGCCACAGGGACCCTGGGTCCCCTGGAATCTGTCAGGTCAGAGCCAGCGGGCAGTGGCCCCCCAAAGGCCTGATTATCTCCTTTTCCCCAGTGCAGTTACCCTGGTGAAAGGCTGTGGTCCCTTGGGGAAGGCTGGGAGAAAGATTAGCATATAAACATTTGGTAGTGCACGGGAGGCCCTCATTGGGGGACCCAGCCTCCCCTTCATTCAAGGGGCACTGGGCTGTAAACTGGCTCAAGTCTGAGAACTGATTGAGGGGTCATGACTCTCTGTTTTTATGATTCAGATTAGACTTTATTTATTTGACCTAGAATTTTTCTGCTTACACAGAACACCATGATCAGTGAGCTAACATCACGGCTCTGTGCATATAGGACTATTCTAATTGCTGCTTTGACTCTCTTTTCAGTCAGTAACCACAAACACCTAGCCTTTGTCGATTGAGTGCCCCCATTATCTCCTGCCATTTGAGGATCCAGTTACCCCCATTGCATTCAGGTTTCCCAATTCAGTGGCTGCAGGTACCCCGGTGAGGTCTGGCCTGCAGGGAAGAGCGACCATAGAGCTCTCCTAGGATGCTGGGCTCACTCGCAAAATTATGTCTTTTCCCAGGGTGGGCAACTAGGTCTCAAATGACAAATCCACGCCAACATTCCAATCCCCCTCTGCACCAAGGCAGGCCCAGCCTTTCTAACTCACTCTCAGTGGGTCTCCTTTTAGTGCATGCTTCAGCCACACAGACTGGTAGAGCCCTTCCTGACTCTGGGAACAGTGGATGCAAATGTAACATTAGATGCAGAATCCCTGCTTCGTGAGCCCATCTCAATCAATTTACCTGATGCAAATGTATGTTCCTCCCACCATCACCCCACCCTCAATATCCATTCCCACACATTGCCCAGATTTCTATCGGTACAAATTAGAAAACTCAAGAGGTTCTTTTGGGGTGTGTGTCCCTCCTCATGGATCACGCTTTATACTTCACCTGTAGGGGTTTGCCGGGACTTGAGTCTAGTTATAGAAGCAGGGAGGGCGGTGGAGTGGGGTCCCCAGGAGAATCAGCATTGTCTTGCTTGACAGCTGCCTCAGGGAAGGCCATGGCCCTTTCCTCAGCAATGCAGGGTTAACACCCTGGGGTGGGCAAAGAGGTCCCTCTTACTGAGCGGGGAGAGACTGTGGCCACTGGCAAAGAAAACTCATCAGAACTCAGGGGCCCAGTGTCCCAGTTCCATTAGGGTCTTCTCACACATCCCCATTCAAATGTTCAGGATCACATTCTTTCTCCACCAATGCCTTTAATAGTAGATAGACACCCTGCAAGGCTGGGGGTATAGCTCACCCTGTAATTCAGCCAGTTGAAGGATGAGGTTGTGAGTTTGATTTTTAGCCATCTCAGCCCTGTGGCTAACAAGAGATAGGAGTCTGCTTCCAGGCAGATGTAGAAGCTTTCGGGTCATTTGTGGGGCTTCTGAGTCACAAGAATTAGACCACAGACTTACTGGAATTGTCGGGAACAAGGTGCTGTTTCCACTGAGGCTGCTTAGCTGGTAGGATGCAAACTGGAGGGACTGGGGTCATTGTGGCCTCCACTTGGAAGCCCTTTTGAGAAACAGTCCCTGTCAACATCTGTTCTCTCCACCTCACTACTCGCTTCTCCCCAATGTAGCCACATGGCTACAATCATTCAAACACATTCTCACACACCCTCCTTGGTTACGGAATAGCACTTGTTTTATCACCAGTAGAAAATGGCTTAGAACAGCATGTAGGACAGAAGGCAGAGCAGGAGCCAGAGTCTGGGGCCACCTGGCTCTGGGAATTCGGAGGCCTTGGATCTCATCAGTATCTCTGGGGAAGGAGCGCTCACCTCCTCAGTTCTCATTTTCTCAGAGTCATAGGGCCTTCCCTCCACCTCCGTCACCTTCTTGATCCAGGGGCTATAATTATCTAACAAGGTGTAAATTCCTGGAATGTTCTTCCGTCCACAGCTCCTTCCCCAGCTGATGATGCCCACCTGGTACCACTTCCTGTCCGATTCTGTGGTGCAGACCAGAGGCCCTCCACTGTCACCCTGTGGGCAGAGAACACAGTTCAGTAGCAAGTCTCATTCTAAACTGCCCATTTGTGTAGTAACTTTCATGGATGGAAGAGGACCCATTGACCTCCCCTCCTCCAGGCTGCCAAAGGAAATCTGTCATTGCTGTCCACGGCCCACCTCAATCCCAGGCCCCCAGGGGATTGTGTTGCTGTCAGGTTGGCTCTGGGAACTGTGGGTTGTAGAGTGTGGGCAGTGGATAGGGTAGGACTAAAGATTGAGGAGGAGGAGGAGGAGGAGGAAGAGGAAGAGGAAGAGGAAGAAGGCCCTGGTGAAAAAGAACTCCATCTGCAGATGGGAGCTAGAAGTCGGAGTAAATATTCACAGGCCAAAAGAAGCGGAGAGATGGCCTCTTCCATGATCATAAACAGGTGACTAGAATGATTAGACTCTGGCAGGGGGAGGAGGAGGAGGACTAACATTTCCTGGACATGTGCAGAGCATTGTGTTAGCCCTTAACTTTCTTTTTTCTCATCAACCCCACCACCTCATATCTCTGTGAGGTAGGTGTTTTGATTCTTATTTTCTAATAAGAAAATTGAATGTCAAAAGAGGTTTGATCACTCCCATTTCACAAATTTTCATTGAGGAAAAACTAATTGTTAGGCAATTGGCATACAAGACCTTATGCTCTAGTGGGGGAGATAATATAAACTGTGTTTGATGGGCAGGAGAAGTATGAACAAATCTAGAAGCAGTGCAGAGGGCGAGGAACTGATTCTGTTGAGGGAGAGTTCTGTCAGAAGAGACTTCAAGGCACTTTGTTTGAAGGAATTTGACAGAACGAGTGTGTGGGACCGTGCAGAGAGGAGCCAGACAGAAGGTAGAGGGACTGGATAAGACGAAGTGAAATGGTGAGGATCTGAAAGTCAGGATGGGGAGGAATGAATTAAAATCCACATGATCTGATGACTGGTGACATTGGACATAGATGGTGGTGACTAGTTCCCAGGTCATGGAGTGTGCTTAGAGAGATAAAGTGCAGGAGAAGATAATTAATAAAGTGTTTGCAAGTGGAGTTTGGGTTGGCTGTGGAATGCATCACCAAATAGAGGGTTAAATAGAGCAGAATTACAGAGAGGTTGGGGTTCAAGGACACACAGTAAGCATTGGCCAAAACCAAAATTCCCCCTTTCCTACAAAGCGTTTGCTCTACTACTTGTCTGTTTTTTGTGGGTGTGCGCTTTTTTGGTGCTAGTTCTGTTTCAAAGTCATGGGGCAAGAACCAAATCAACAGGATCTCTACACAAATAGCTCCTCCCATGAATGATGTTTTATGAAGGCATGCATGTTATACAATTTTTATCAATATGTTGCCTTGATTATTTATTTTCTTACATAACAAGGAGAGAATGGTCCTTGGGCAAGTAACTTTTTAAAGCCTCAGTTTCCGTGTCATTAAAATAGAGATAATACCAACTCCTTCCCGAGATTGTCAGCAGATGAAATTTTTTAAACTCTGTAAATCACTCACAAAGTATTGTTACTAGCCAGCATATGTGCGATGTTATATTTTGCTTGACTATGCCACTTAAAAATGGTTTTTTAATTGAACTTTTTTTTTCACACTATAACCTTAACCAGGAGATCACAAAGAAGAAAAGTTCTGGGAAAAGTAAACCCAAAAAACTAACTGTTTTTAATTTTAGCATTTACTGCTAATTTGTATTTTAAGCATAGCATAATTTTACTGCCATTATTTTGAACATATTTAAATGCTATCATCCTAAAATGATCATTTCCCTTAATATGTGATTACATGCTTTTTTAAAGTTGGCTAAATTTAAAAGTGTGATTTTATTTTTAAGGGCAATTATTTTTAAATGGTTTCTTTGTTTTAAAGTGATGATAATGTTGTATAATTTCAGGAAAATTTCCTTGACTGGATCACTGTCAGCTTATCTTGGACAATAGAAAGCTTTCTAAACAGAGGGCAAAGCTTTTCATTTCACAACTTAAAAAAAAAGGCTTAAAACAATAACAGCACATTTATTTACAGAACTCTTAACTAATAGAGAATTTTCGAAGCTCTCATTAAGGTGCACTTTTTGTTGCAAGAGATAGCAACAAAAAGCCTAGACTCGGATGGACATCCAACTACTGCAGCAGAGGGAGCAGAGGGTGCAGAAAACGTCGCCGGAGATGGCACTTGATGATTTCAGGTGTGGCCACAGTTGGTTTGGCCATTGGAATATGGGACGGGGTTGAATCAAAGAGATTGGAAGGAGAGTGGGTGTATGGGTGGGGCCTGCTTCTTATATTCTTGCGTGAGCATAGTAGCGACAGCCTGGCATAACAGTAGTCTCCCACACATGGCACGACCTCCCTTACCGCACTGCTCATCTGCCCACACTCAGCTTCTGTCACCTCTGGCTTCTGAAACCCTGGAACTTCCCTGAACACGTGATGCCATTTCAAGCCTCTGATTTCCCCGAAGTTCTCTCTGGGACACTCTCTTTCTATTCACATTGTCTGCTGAATGCTGTCCCCCCACCCGCCCCTCCCCCCCATTGCTATTTGGAGCTCTTTGTCTCCGGCTCTAGCTTGAACTGGTTGCTCCTTTAGGTCTATGGCATGGCTGTGATCCCAGATCTTCCTTTAACCACTGTGTCTAGGAAGCTTTGTCTTCTCTTTGTTTTTATTTATTTTTTTGTTAATTCTCACTGGATGATATTTTTCCCATTAATTTTTACAGAGAGTGAAAGGGAGGGAGGGAGGGAGGAGAGAGAGAGAGAGAGAGAGAGACATCGATGTGAGAGAGACATATTGATTGGTCGCTTCCTGCATGTGCTTGACCAGAGCTGGGGATCTAACCTGCAAGCCAGGTACAAGCCCTGACCGGGAATCAAATCCTCAACCCTTCAGTGCAATGGCTGATGCTCTAACCACCGAGATGCTGGCGAGGGCTGTTTTTTAAATTTTTGATACAATTATAGATTCATATGCACTTGTAAGAAATCATACAGAGAGATTCCATGTACCTTTTTCATGTTTCCCCCAAGAACAACATCTTGCAAAACTACAGTATAATAGTCACAAGCAGGATACTGACACTGATATAGTCAAACTGAGAACACTTCCATTGCCAAAGGGCTCCCTCGTGGTGCCCATTAGGCTATATCCACCTCCCTCCCACCTCCAGCCTCTCCTTAGACCTCTGCTGCAACCAACAATCTGTCTCCAATTCTACGATTTTGTCATTTCAAGAATGTTATGTAGCTGGCATCATGCAGTGCGGGACCTTTGGGGGCTGGCTGATTTCACACCACATAAGCCTCTGGAGACCCCGCCATGTTGTTGCACGTATCAATAGTTGTTTCTATCATAGCTGAGTGGAATTGCGTGGTATAGATGTACCACAGTTTATTTAACCATCCACGTCTCGAAAGACGTTGTTTCCCATGCTTGGCTATTATGAATACAGCTGCTATAGAGCCTCCTGTACAGGTTTCGGTGTGAACACAAGCCTTCATTTATCTGAAATGAATGCCTGAGAGTAGCATTTGCTAGATTATGTGGCCTGAGCATGTTCCACTTTTTAAGAAACTGGCAAACTGTTTTCCAGAGTGGTTGGGCTATTTTCAAGTCCCACCAGCAATGTGTCCAGTTTCTCAGCATTCTTGTCAGCATTTGGCGTTGTCACTATTATTTTTTTTTTTTAATTTTATCCACTCTGAGAGGTGTGTAGTGATGTCTCATTGTGGTTTGAATTTGCATTGGCTTAATGGCCAATGACACTGAACATCTTTTCATGTTCTTATTTACCATCCGGTTATCCTCCTCAGTGCAATGTCTGTTCATGTCTTTGGCCCATTTTCTAATTGCAGGGTTTGTTTTTCTACTGTCGAGTTTGAAAGTTCATTATCTATTCTAAGTATAATACCTTTGTGGGATATTATCTCCCAATCTGTAGCTTGTCTTTTCATCCTCTTAATAGGGTCTTTCACAGAGAAAAAAAATCTTTGATTTTGATGAGGTCCAATTTATCAATTTTCCCTCTTTCGAGCTGCGTTTTTGGTATCACTCTAAGAACCTCATAATGAGTATTTCCCAATCCATGTCCCCATTCCCAGGGCCACGCCCTGATTCCCACACATTTCCCAGACTCACTGTTTATTCCCAGTGGAGAGAGGACACCCTTGCCTTGGCAGCCCTGAGGGGATGAGGGCCTGGAGAGAGAGGGAGGGGACACCCCTAGTTACCTGGCAGGAATCGTAGCTCTTATTCTCATACCCAGCGCACAGCATGTTTTTGGTAAGCTTTGGAAACACCTTTCTACATTCCCTCCGATCCATGATGACCATTGGCACTTTCATCAGGTCAGTGGTCTCAGAGTGTTTGTCACCTGGCCCACAGAGAAAGCATATCAGGAAAGTCACTGGACAGCAGTCTGTGTGTGTCAGCAATGCAAGTGACCTGCCCTAGACCACCCTGCGCATCCCCGCAGCCCACCAGCCGCCCTCCACCTTCTTCCACATCCTCACTACTTCCCCCCGTCGCTACTTCCTTCCTTCAATCCCATGCAGCTCACTCACTCCACCACCCCAGGTTTCCCACAATTCCCCACCTACTCGAATTATTGCTCTCATTCAAAATCAGACCCCTGCTTCCAAGAAGACTTCCAGCTTGACTCCAACCAGCCCTACAGACTTGACCTCTTGGAAGTGGCTATTGGTCATTTCTCAGCACAGTCCTGCCTCCTCTTCCTGCCTGTCGATGGCCACTTTTCAGTATGAGAGGATGGCCCTCCCCTGACACAGGGCTGCTGAGCGTGGACCTGCACTCCCAGTGGGAAGTTTTCCGGTCCCCTGGGCAGGGGAGGTTGGCTGCAGGTCTTCACAGGGGACTGGCCAGGGCCCTTTCCAGCCGGCTTCTTTCTAGCTCACCAACTCTGACCACATAGACCTTTCAAAATTCTTCTGCTTATTGACTCTTTTTAATCTGGAGGCCTCCTCCTCCTTCACTTCTAACTTTCGAGGGGTGCCTGGAGCGCAGAAGCAATCACATGCCAGTGGCTCTCTAGCTACTGAACTCCTGCAATCCCTCCCTTTTTCCAGACCTCAGCTCGGTGCAAGGCGTCCCTGTGGACCCAGAGTCTCCCTCAGGCCTGAGACAGTGCTGTGTTGTTCCCATCCCCTACCTATTGGCTCTTGGTTTTGAGTTTTCTTTGGGGACAGTCCAGCAAGGCTTTCGTAATCCCTCTCTGCCCTGGTACAAGTTCCTCCTGTTTTGGCCAAGCCACAGTGCAACAACAGGGAACAAGTAACAGCAGATTCTCAGACTGGCTGGGCAACACTCCAGGGCCATCAAAGGTCTGAGCCCGGACAGGCATCTTGAATGCCTGTACAAAACAGGTGGGAGACATCGATGTGTGAATCAAGGGAGATGTGAAAGAGAAAAGAGGAGAGTGGCCCCTGGCAAACTGGAGAGTTTAAATTCAGTTACACAAACAAACAAGACTGCTCTGTGCTGGCTGAACACGCCCACACCCGGGGCAGTCTCAGACCTGGCATCTCAGCCTGGGCCTTGGGGTGATGCTTCCTTGGCCCTCAGAGGCTGAAATGGGGCCTCTGGGAGCCTCTGCTGGGCAGGAATTTGCTCTAATGCAAGTTCTTTTCTCGCCCCTGCCCCTCAGCCCTCTCTCCTTTCACCCTCCTCCTGCCTCCTTTGGATTGAGTGGCCCATCTCCAGATGCCCGTGATTGGCTCCTCCCCCAGCGGCTCTCAGAAGCTACTGTGCAGTCACGTACCAGGTTTGGTCTGCCCCCATCCTGCCACCCAGCATTTGCTCCACTTGGTGGGGCCGGGCTGCCTGGGCATGCAGATGGGCTCCTTCAGGCCGCTGAACCTGATGTCTGTGTTCAACAGCAGCAAGGCGATGTCGTTGTCCATGGTGAACCTTTCGAAGTCCTTGTGAATCACTATGCTGGTGACCCCCTTCACTTCCAGGGAGGGGCTCCGCAAGTCGTTGGTTCCCAGCACAACGCTCAGGTCTATGGGACTGGGTGGCACAGAACCGGAGAGGGCAGGTGGAGGGGAAGGAAAGTCACCAAGCACCCAGAATTTTCTGTGCCCCCAAAACCTACCTCCCATATATTTCTAGGGGCCTTTACAACTTGTTCTACCGGGGCTGTTGCTAAAAAGATATACTTTTAAAAAGGTAACAAAGGAGGGCAAAGCAGTCTTTGTGGCAGACCACAGCGACACGGTACCCAGCACAGTCCCAGAGGTGTGGAGGGGACACCCCTCCTAATGGGGCCAGGGCAGAGCTTAGCTTTGGCTGCTCCAAAGAACCCACCACCTGGCACAAATCAAACCAGCCCACAGAGAGGTAAGGTAGGATTACATCGATTCGCCTGCCAGCAACTTAGAGACCCCAGACTGGAGTTTAATCCAGACATGCCACTGATTAAACAGAAAGAGTCTTCAGTCATAATTCAGGAATTCCCTCCAGGCAGAATGGCTAGGAACTTTCCAATAGCCTGTCTTTAAGTATCCCATGTGGGCAGATGCAACAAGCTACATGGTCATGCCACGGCAAAACTTTCCCAGATGCCCCATTTACCCTTTAAAGCAGTGGTTCTCAACCCTCTGGCCCTTTAAATACAGTTCCTTGTGTTGTGACCCAACCATAAAATTATTTTCATTGCTACTTCATAACTGTAATGTTGCTACTGTTATGAATCATAATGTAAATATCTGATATGCAGGATGGTCTTAGGCGACCCCTGTGAAAGGGTCGTTCGACCGCCAAAGGAGTCTCGACCCACAGGTTGAGAACCGCTGCTTTAAAGTCAGTTGGATCTCAGTTTCCTTCTCTATAAAACATGGTTGTTCATTCTATCTGCCTCAGAGGGTTTTTGTACGATGAAATAATATAGGTAGTTACTTACATGGTCACTGGGCCATGATTAGTAATCAGTAAATGCTGGGTTTGCCACCCATCTCCTGGAGCTTAAAGAAAACTCTACAGGGAGCAGGAAAGTGGGGGTGTCCAAAGGCCTGGAAACCCAGGCTTTCAGAAATAGGAAAATTTCTTCCTGGAAGGATTTGTCTGTCCTAGGAGAGGTAAACGGACCAAGCCCTTTAACTCTGCCAGGCCAGATGCTCCTGGAGTGTGTGATCGCAGGGAAGCCCTAGTTACTGGCCCTGGGTGACCTCGAGGTGGGCACAGCAGGGGTTCACCGCCTCCTCAGCCCCAGGGCCATCGTGTCTGACTCAGGACTGACAGGCCCTGGGACTCCCCTTAGCAATCAGGTCTGCCTGAATGTGGGGACACTCCGGGGGTGGACAGTGTCAGAAGCAACAGGGATGGGCTCTTGATACTTACTCTACTTCCTCATTTGATAAGCAGTGAGCCGCAGTGACAATCCACCAATTGTTGATGATCGTGCCGCCACAGAAATGTTGATTTGCTGTCTGAATACTCACCATCCACGGGAACTCGCCCTCCTCAGCCTCCATCCCCTCTATGATTCTGGAATACTGAGATCCTCCCTCAAAAATGGGTCTTTCGCCGCATGCTGGTGGCATGGAAGAGGAGGGAAGGGAAAAGACGAAACCACTCAATCAATATCTATAGGAGGTCTCTAGGTAGCTACCATTATGCTCATTCTATATATGAGGCATCTAAGGCTGGCTCAGGGAAGCACCCAGATACACGAGTAAGCCAGCCGATGCTTTATGTTCATAGCACAGCGCCTGGGACACGGGTCAGAAGTGTTGGCTCTGCCCCCTCCAGCATTGTGATCTCAGGAGGGTCTCTTCACTGAGCTTGTCTCTGCTCTCACCCAAGAGAAATCAGAGGAAAAGATTTGTCCAACACCAACTATGGAGTGGTAGGCAGAATAACACCCTCCTCCCCCCAAAGATGTCCATGTCCTAAAGCACTGGTGGATAGTGCTTTATAAGGCAAAAGGGATTTTGGAGATGGAATTAAAGTTGCTAATCAGCTGATTTAAAAATGGGGAGATTGGCCCGGCCAGTGTGGCTCAGTGGTTGAGCATCGACCTATGAACCAGGAGGTCACAGTTCAATTCTCTATCAGGACACACACCCAGGTGGCAGGTTTGATCCCCAGTAGGGGGCATGCAGGAGGCAGTTGATCAATGATTCTCTTTCATCATTGATGTTTCTCTCTCTCTTTCCCTTACTCTCTGAAATCAATAAAAATATATTTAAAATAAAAATAAACTGGGGAGATTGTCCTGGATAATCTGAGTGGGCACAATGAATCCCAAGGGTACTTAATGGTAGTGGACCAGGCAGAAGAAGAAGAAAGATGTGACTAGGGAAGAAAGGCAGAGAACTGCCTTGGAAGATGGAAGAAGGGGCCCCAAGCTGAGGAATGGGATGACCTTCAGAAGCTAGAAAGGGCAAAGGTTCTCCCCAGAGGCTCTGAAGGGAATGCAGTCCTGCTGACACCTCGATCTTACCCAGGGAGACCCGTGTCTGATTTGCATTCAACAGAACTAACTGTAAGATAAGAAATGTGTGTTGTTGAAGTCACTAAGTTTGTGGTGGTTGGTTCCAGCAGCCCTAGGAAGCTAATTCATGTGAGAAATCAGAACGGTCCCAGAAAGGGCCTGAACCTTCCAGAAGCCTTGAACTGTTCTAGAACATTCTGTTTCCTGGGAGGCTGAGAGCACAGGCTGCAGCTGCCTGTGCAGAGAGAAGAAATCTATCTCTGGAGAGAGTCCTGGCCCAGCTCCCAAGAGAGGAGCCACTCCATTAGTGTTTGTTGTAGTCAAGTAATTAATCAATGAGCTTGCTAACCAACTCCCTCCACTGCCCCTAATGCTCACCACTGACTGGGAGAAAGGGACCTGAGCAGGGCCACTATCAAGCCCTTCCCCACCCCGCCCCACCTAGGAGAGCTGCTCTGGCCATGGGGGGATGGGGAGGGGAGGAGAGGGAGGTGGGGTCGGGGAGGAGTCAACATACCAAGAAGTGTGCTCCTGACTTGGGACATGAGCAGCAAAACTGATAACAGGAACATGACCCTTGGCTTTGCTGCTGGCCCAGGAGGTGGCAGAGGCCAGGGCTGAGGGGAAAGACACTGCCATGGCCTCTTCTCTCCCAGCCGGCCCAGCTGGCGATGTCACAATGGGCTGGGTGGTTGAGAACTCGGGTCCTGCAGGCTTCTCTTCTTGCCATTTGTTCCTAACGTGGCTGCACAGAGGGCCCTCATCCTTGAAATCGTCTTGTCTGAGATCCTCTTCCCGATGACCTGGGCACGCCCACCCTTCACCAAGTCCTTGGTGGGCACCTTGCTTGTGGTTCCTGCCCTAAGTAACCCATTTTAAGGCTCAAATGCCTCCTCTCTCACAGAGCCTGTCACGTCAGAGGTCCCTGTGAATGTGCGCCTGAGGCCTGAGTGAGGGACTGCCAGGCTGGACCTCGAGGATGGGGAGGAGCTCAGGAGTCCCAGGGGGCCTCCCCCAGCACTAACCCGGGGTGGGGGTGGCGGGGGTGAGGGGGTGGCAGTCGCCTCTGACCTGGGGCTGCCAACATGGACCTGGCCTTCCTTCATGCCCAGCCTAGCAGGTGACAATCCTGCTCTCACCACTTTCTAGGTTTATTCCACATGATGTCCCAACCCCCAGGTAAGCCCCTGACCACATCTAAAGATGAAAGGATCAGACTCACAGATGTAAATGCCTGGCCCATGGCTTCCCCTCACATCTGCAGGTTTGATCCTGGGTCATGGATTTGGATCTTCCTGTTGACCTCACACTTACCATGCACTGACTCGGGTGCATTGGACACAGGCACCCTCAGGACAGCCTCGCTGGCAACTTGCTCATCTGCAGAAAAGGGATAACAATGCTCACAAGTAAAGTTGTGAAGCTCAAAACAAGATTATGTGACCCAGGTATGGCCTTGTTTTACTACATCTCCAGCTACTCTCCCCTCCCCATGGCCCCTCACTGCAGTTGCTCCTCAGTGCCCAGGTGTCCACTATCAGGGTTGGGCCAGCCTGTTGTGTGGCCATGGATGGTGCTGTCCTCACCTGTCCTGAATAACACCTCATCTGCGTCCTCAACAGAACATCCTGGCCCTGACAAAAGGCTAAGCCTTTTTTAAAGGGCATATGGGCAAAGGTCCCAAAGATTTCAGGCCACCTGGCCTGGCCTGCCACCGGGAAGCTCTGGGCTTTCCCTTTGTGCTTCCTTTGAATTTGGCTCCCTCCCTCCCCTGGCCCTGCCACCACCCCTGGCCAAATGCCTGCAGCTTCTCCTTTGCTCACCTACTGTTGGTCTGGGGGTGAGGAGAGGAGGAGAAACCTGGGCAGGGTCTGACTGGGAGGATGACAGCTGATCCCACCAGTGGGGATGCAGGGATGACAGGCACATCCACTCACAACTGCTGCTCACTTTCTAGAAAAGTATCCGGACAAATCACAGCTCACCTCTAAGAAGACCCATTTTCCGCTGGGGCTATATCTCTCCTATTAACATGGGCCCTATTGCTTGTGACATATTCATTCACTGTGCGGCATTTCTTTGCCAAGCTTCTTCACAGTAACAGTGGGCTGCACCATGCCTGGGTGGGATGCCTGGGTGAGACAAAACTGCCATGCCTAGCCACAACACCAGAGGGCACCAATCCTATAGATCACAATGGGAATGACTCCCCACCGGAACTGGGTGAACATGGGGGCCCAGGTGTGGAGAGAAGCTCTATAAGGAATCTATAGAAATTCGAAGAGTAAAGGAGGCACATGATGACATAGGCTGCCTAGGACTGGTGCCTGGCCGAGGTTCCAGAGGTCCCTAGGGCAGCCCTATTGTAGTGACTTTGTTTACCACCATCCTGGCCAGCAGTTCTAGAACTGGACTAGGGAACACACTCAGTGCAGGTTAAGGCTGCCAGATTGAGCAAATAAGTATACAGGATGCCCAGTGACATTTGAATTTCAGATCAAGAACAAATGTTTTTCAGTCTATGCACCACCCCCCATGCAATGTCTGAGTATGCAGTGTATCTGCCCACTCATCCTGTAGAGCTCGTCAATCACAATACTTCCACTCTCAACCTCTTTTGTATCTCAATTACATCTGTTTCAGAGGTTGAAGTCCAAACCCCCAGCACCTTAGAATGTGACCCTGCGTGGAGACAGGGTTTTTAAAGAGGTAATCAGGGTAAAATGAGACCCTCAGGGCAGGACCCTAATTCACTAGGACTTGTGTCCTTGTAAGCAGAGGAAGAGACCCAGGAGTGTCCATGTCCAGAGAGATGACGGTGTGAAGAGGCAGCAGGAAGGTAGCCATCTGCATGCCAAAGGGAGAGGCCTGGGCAGGTGCTTCCATTGTAGCTCTCAGAAGGAACCCAGACCCATCAGCACCTTGCTCTTGGACTTCCCAGCCTCCAGAACCAGGTTGTCTAAGCCACCCTGTCTGTGGCATTCTGTTATGGCAGCTTTGGCAAACGACAACACGCACCCCCTTTCCTCCTTTAGGCTACCTCATCTCTCATCAGTATAACTGGAGCCACTTCCTCTCTGATAGTCTCTTTCCTAGTCATCCTCTCTCAAATAATCTCCATGTTACACCCAGAATAACCTTGTAATGCACGTG